TTGCCACAGATTTACCTCAGTTTTGACTTTCGAGCTGCCTTGCGCGCTGCCCCTTGCTTGCGCGCCAGCTTCCTGCTTGCGCGCCGCCTTCCAAGCCTCTCAACCATGATGGCTATGCAGACGCCAGAAAGTGTAGATGCGCGCCTCCTCCTCGCAGATATACCACCGCTCCCACCGCCGCCGCACGCACCAGCGTCCAATCAATGGATGCCAAACTCTCGCACTCATAGGCCGCCGCCGCGCAAGAGCCTCGAGTTCAACCCGCAGCTCTTCCTGCTCATGATCATCGCTTGCTGCGCGTGCGCGCTCGTAGCCATCGGCGTCGGCGTCGCGGTCGTCGGCGCGCGACGCCTCGGCGCGCTGCAGCGGAGCATCGAGGCCGTCAACGACAACTTCCTGGCGACAAAGCTCGCCCTAGACGCGGTCCTGCCGGCCATGGCGCAAAACACGTACGAGCTCTGCGCCGTGGCGCACCCCATGGGCGCGGAGGCGAAATGCACTGCGCCCGCGGACCCCTGATCATATGCAAATCTGTAACTTACCCGCCTGTACCGTCCTCACGGGCTCGCCGGGGGCGACGCGGCGTCCTCGTCGAGGCCGCCGCCGCCGCCGAGGAGGAGGCCGTTGAGCTGCTCCTCGCAGCGGACCTGGTGCTCGCGGGAGAACGCGTGCTCGCGCGCGAGGTCGTCGACGGCGTTCGTGAGCGTGATGCGCGCGTCCTCGGTCTTGGCCTCGTGGTCGCCGAGGCGCTGGTCGAGGCGCGCGCGGGCCTCGCGGTCGTTCGACGCGGCCGCGGCCGCGTCGTCGCAGCGGAGCTTGAGCTCGACGGCGTACGCGTCCGCGGACGCCTTCGCGGCCGCGAGCTGCTCCTCGCAGCGCGCGAGGCGCTCGCGCAGCGCGTCGCCGCGCGCCGCCTCGTCGTCGAGCTTGGCCTCGGAGCGCTGGAGCCGCGACCGGAGCTCGTCGACGACCGTCGCGAGGTTCGAGCTCTCGCGCTCCGCGCGCGCGGCGACGCGCTCGCAGCGCTCGCCGAGGTCGCCCGCGGCGAGCCGGAGCTTCTCGTCGCCGTCGTCCCACTTGCGCCGCTGGTGGCGCACCTCGTCCTCGAGCACGCGGAGCCGCGCCTCGGCCTTGGGGTCGAAGCCCGCCGGCGCGGCGCCGCCGCCCTCGGGCGCGGCGAGGCGCGCGGCGGCGAGCGCCTCCTGGGCGGACCGCTCGGCGGCGTTGGCCCGGGCCTCGGCGACGATCAGGCGCTGCGCGAGGCCCGTGAGCTCCGCGCGCGCCTTGGCCTCGGCGTCGTCCTTGGCGCGCGCCGCGCGCCGCTCGGCCGCGTCCGCGCGCGCCTCGGCGCCGTCGCGCGCGGCCTCCAGGCTCCCGACGCGCGCGCGGAGCTCGCCGACGGCGCCGACGCACTGCTCCAGCGCCTGCATGACCTGGCGCTGCATGCCGTTGCTGCCCCAGCGCTCCAGGTTCCCCGTCCCGAAGATCTGGTCGTTGAGCGCCGTCGCCGCCGTGACCTCGGAGAAGTGGTGCAGCGCCGCGTCGCGCTGGTACCCGGACTTGACGGGCACGCGGCTGTTCAGCAGGTCCAGCGCGCTCGCCGTCGACGGCGCGTTCATCGTGTTCCGGCAGCCGTTGCTTGTTACGCGCGGGGGGCAAGCACGCGAAGTGCTGTCGCATTGAAGATTGCCGTGGACCTCTGCGAAGCGGCCCAAACCGACGTCCGCGCTGCTGCGTGCACTTGGCGCGCGGACGTCGAAACCATCGAAACCATCGACGATGGACGGCCTCCAGAAGCAGCTCGAGCGCGCCATGGCCTCGCAGAACTACGGCGAGGCGCTCGTCGCCGTCGACGCGCTGAAGCGGGCCCTCGAGTGCGCCGAGTCGGAGGCCTCGGCGTCCGAGGCCCTCGACGACTCGGAGGCGTTGGGCCCGTCGACGAGCGACGGCGCGTCGGAGACGGAGGGCGACGGCCGGTCCGGCCGGCGCGCGCGGCTCCGGCCCGTGGCGTCGCTCGTCGTGTCGCCCGTCGCGGCGCCGCGCGAGCGGCGGCCGCGGCTCCCGAGCGAGGAGGTCGTCGAGGAGCGGTCCCTCGTCGTGTCGCCGGGCAAGGCGTCGCGCGACGACG